CTATGATTCTATGATTCTAAGTCCCTTGAGAGTGCCCTGCCAATGAACTACAACCCAGTGGTGAACCGTCTGTTCCTAGAAGTGAGTTCATCCTCTGACCCCTCTGATTCTGTGAATTTTTCGGTGATAGTAAACTTAGGAAAAAAAAAATTTAAGCATCTCAGTGGCTTTTCAAGCCAACAAAGATACTTACTACTCACTTGCTAAACACTTAAAAAGTCTCACGTAAACCAGGGGAAGCTGAGCAGGTAGAAGTGCATGGAGAACATGGGGGGTGGCTTCTACTTCTTGCTGCCTTCCCAGCACTGCACTGCTGTGGGAGCCCCTCCACAGAAGCAGGTTCCTCAGCACCTGGGCTTTGATTCCATCAGTCCTCATGTGGGGAGTAAGGCTGGTGTGTTTCCTGCAGCAGTTTGTAGGGTTTTGTGCAGGAGAAATGTAAAGCAGCTCGAACGGAAAGAGAAAGAAAAGAGAAAGCTCAGTGACCCTCGCCGGTGGCTTGCCTCTGTTGCCTTCCAAACTTCTTCGTTCAGATAAGTCGATTCAGAAGCATCCGCGTGCTGCCCTGCTGTAAGAGCGGCTTTCCACAAGGACTTAGCGTGCAAAAATCCACGTGTAACAGAGAGTTTTCAAAATACTGAGCGAAAGAGGCGGTGCTTGATGCGTGAGTGGTCTGCAACGAGCACGGGAACACTTGAAGAACTGAACTGAGAAAATGGTGGAGTCCTGGTTTAAAGTTCTTCCACAACCCCCTGCGAAAGGAAACAAGGCTGGCAGTGCTTCAGGAGGATGGCTAAGCAACCTGGGGATTACTGGGTGAACTGGGAGACTGTGAGTCTTAACAGTTGTAGTTCAGATTAAAGACATATAGGTAGGGGCCAGCCCAGGGAAAGTGGGAGTTTTTAACATTTTAGCAACTTTTGGGCAGTCCTGGTTATCTGGAATGAGACTCAACCCTATTCCCAGTGCTGTCATACCACGTCCTTCTATTTTACTACCTTGTTAACACTGTCTTGTTCTACTGAAAAAGTCTTTTCAGTCCTGTTAACCATTTAACTGCTGTATCCCAAAGCCATCACAAAACAATGATGACTTAAACTCCTCTTTAATTGTTTCCAAACACTTTTTGTGAATTATGAGAGATAGTTTTAGGCTAAAAAGATTGACTTGGACGATTAGTGTTAGCATTTGTCAATTCGAATATGTGGCCAGCATTCACGAAAAGGATAACTTTCCTGAAATACCCTGTATGAAAGTCTGTACAATGATAACAGAGCTGTAATAAATGGAAAAATCAGATAGATGTTCACATTTGAAATAATTATCTTAGAAAAGACACAAGTGGAAGAGGACTGAGGTAAGATTGACCAGGCACAATTCTGCCATGAGTTGTGCTGGGAGGTTGACTTTACAACCTGATCATTCTTTTATCAGCTATTGCAAGCGTATAGGCGAAACTAAGCATTAATATGCAGGTCTGGAATATATAAAAGGTTATAAAAGGTTAAAAACTATTTGGATTATATAACTGTGAATATTATTACTCCCGTAGTTCAGAGACTCCAGTCATAGCTAGCTCTTCGTTATTCCTGGTCATGGGGAGGACTCCGGGGTTATTAGAACAGCTGTATAACATGGGTACTACCAGAGAGGTAAGCAGTTGTATGACAGCTGTGTGGTGAGTCCCTGCACCTGTGTTCTCTTCAATCTAGCACCTCTGGGGGAAGGATCTGGCAAGAGGCATGTTGCCCAACACTAAAAATTCTCATCTTGAGTCGCAACAGAACGACAACAGTCTGGGGATCAGAAGTGCCAGCCCCCTGATTTCCAGCAGCGCCCTTTTCTGACTTGCATCTCCTGAGATGCCGGCTCTAAGCCAGGAAGGAAACCAAGGCTGGTCGAGGCTCCCCAGAGACTGTAGAGTGAAGGGTGCGGCGCCCTGGCAGGTCCCAGCAGAGGTGATCATTAGGCGGAGTAAGGGAGAAGCGTAACGAGCGTGATTTGTTGCACGCCTTCACAATTCATAGTACCCTTTTACAGCTTTGGGGAGGTTTTCAGGTAATGTCATGAGAACGCAGTAACAATAGATGGTTTCAGCATTTACGAGGTATGGTTTCAGCATTTACGAGGTACTACATCCCATGAAATACACAATGCCTGGTGAAAACAGCTTTTCTAACAAAGAACCTCGAGTTAATGAAAAAGCAGTAGATATTCTGGAGTAGCAGTGTGTTCATTTAGCAAACAGATGTGGCACTTACTATATGCATCTCCCACCCCAGCCATTTGTTATCACGCCTTCGCCAAAGGTTACTTGAAAAAAAGAATCACGAGAGCACTCCTTAGTCATAAACAGCAGCTGGTGAGGCTGTAACATCCTGAAGCCCCTGCAGCTGTTGGCTAAGTGGATGCATGTCTGAGCTCCTAGGCATCACAGTGTTTCAGGTACTTCTGAGTATCTCACCCAGAGTCCATATGCAACCTTTATTATTCATTCCTCTTATTGTGTCTCTACAGCATATAGCGATTTGGGGTATTACATTATAAATAAGCTGCACCATGTGGATGAATCAGTGGGAAGTAAAACTCGGAGGGCCTTCATTTATCTTGCTGCCTTCCCTTTTATGGACGCCATGGTGAGTGCCTGATTCAGAACTGAACTTAAATATGAATGGTTTGGGGGTTTTCTCTTAGATGGCCTTACTTCACAAAGTCTGTTATCTGATGGGAAATTGCAGGTGTGCAGAATGAAGGTGTAATTTGGGAGCAGTAGCTCTAGATATACCTGGACACATCATTTCCTGCTGCCAAAAAAGCATCGGGGCAGACCTTGAATATCCAGAGATCATGACAAATGTAAAAAACCTCAGCTGCCTGGTTAGAGTAACTGTATGTGCATGCTGGAAAGCACTTGGTCGTCTTGTGATAAGCTCCACCGGTTGTCTGTGTGTGTCCTCTGCACTTTGTAGTGAGAGAGTTGGATTTGCCATGCATTTCCAGATCTTCTGCAGAGCTCACCAGGAATAAGATCAGTATTGTCTCAAAACAGATTTGTTGAAAAGAGGTTTCTTACGGTCAATTTTTTCAAGCACATCTAAGTCCAGTACATCTCACACGCTTGGGCAAGAGAGCCACACACGGGTTATTGCCCACGCTGCTGCTTCCCAGATCACCAGGATTACTGCTTGTGGCCTGCACAAACCTAAAAATATGACAGTTCTCTTTAATGCCTCTGCTTCTGTGTAAAACTGGTAAAGGAGCCCCTTCTCATGGTGTGCCTCCAACACTTACTTTGCCACTTTGTCTGCTTGAAACAATCACTGACAACAAAAAGAAGTTGGATCATTAAGTTTTCTGGACAGGAATGGTGGTGAATGAGAAGCAACTGTTTTCCCCACAGATTATTTAGTATGATAATCCATCCTGTGCAGCATCTGTTATATGAAGAAGAGGCAGTTTCTTACTCGATCTGCTCAGAAATTTCTATATAGTCTGTAAAATTATTCCCATTCTCCCTGCTAGCCCTAGCAGTGAGGAACTGAATGCAGCAGTGCTTTCTCTGCTTGACATTTGCCCAGGTTCACACCAGGTACTGCTGGTGGAAAGGAGCTCTGGAAGTTGTTCATGTACAATGCAACAGCCAGAAAACAGCATTCTGCGACCTGAAATCTTTCACAAATGTCATAGTCACTTCCCAAACTCTCCTCTGACATTTTTTAGGCATGGACCCATGCTGGGATTCTGCTGAAACACAAGTACAGTTTCCTGGTGGGATGTGCCTCCATCTCAGATGTCATAGCTCAGGTAATGACTCCTCTACGCAGTCACTGTTTCCATTGCATTACAGGCTAGATGCTTTCCTAGGCAAGGACTCCTTTGTACGGAGACTGTCTTCTCTCTCTGCTGGGAACAACACACCAGAGGAAGTAATCTGGTGTCCTGTTCTCCGGTTGTTTCCCCATCTTGTGGAGGCTGTTTGCTGACAGTTGCTGTTCAGGCTGGTCTCGTGTGACTGGATCAAGTCATCCCAAAGCAATGTCAGGAGAAGGGAACCAGGATTGTTTGGGCTAGGGCCTTGTCTTCCAGCACCTCCACAACACTGTTTCAGAATGGCTGAGGAACAAGCTCTATGTACACATGTACATCTGGGACAAAGAAAGGTCAGGCAAAGAGACCGACGGCTTCTACCAGTCCTGAGGCTGACGGAGTGCCCCCATGGGCATTCCCTCCCACGCTTTGCACAGTCGCACTGAAATCCTGAGTGGGGCTCATAGGTGGGGAAGTGAAGGGCAATTCTCCAGTTCACCTGTCAGTTTTGCCCATGCTGTCTAATCGCGTGAGGTGCAGTAGTGTAGGCCGTTGTCTGAGCATCTGTGGCACTGTTCTTGACACTGGTCTGAAAGGAAACTGCTCGCAAGTGCAGCCGTAGGGATCTGTGGTGATAGCTCCTGGGTGATGCAGAGAAGACCAAATGGTGTTTGAACTTTCTTTTATGAGGGAGGTGTTAAATATTCTGTTGCTTTGATCTAGACACACTTAAAAAACAACGTTCCTACATATTGCTGATGGCCAGCGTTGCAGCATTTGAGAACCAATATACAGCCCTCTTTTTGAAGCATATATAAAAATATTACAAAATGGAGAGTCCCAGCACCTGTAAAACAGTTGCTGTGCAGCCCCATTACCAGCTGAATGGTGTAATGACTGGGTAAGAAGAGGATAATAACAGTCCAGCATCAAAGGAAATATGAAGTCAACAGCATTTAGTTCAATTTTCCATAGCATTTCCCTCCCACTAAACACGAGCAAGCCATAAACCAGGTTGAACCATTCAGTCAGCTGCTATTCTATGTTTGGCAGGTCTGCCCCTCTACAGTACTGCCCTAAATCTCTGAGGATAATACCAATTACTGCAAATGACCTTAACTCTCAGGATCTGCTCTTGTTCTGATGTGACCTACAAAGTTTGCTGACACTAGATGAATGTTGGGTCACATACAGCTAAATACAGAAACAAATGCTTATTCTGGCCATGGTACACGTGCCCTTTCCACAATGGTTGGTGAGTGGGGTGCCAGCATTATGAAGAAGAAGACACCTGTTGTCTTCTCTCAACAAAATACTGCACAGAGCAAGAGCAAATCTGGAAGACAAAAAGGTGTGATCCTTCAAACCCTGGAACTCCCTACACCTACACTTACTCCCTACACAAGCAATAGGTGCACAGACATTAGCTATTTCTCCTTGGGTAGCTTCATACACATGCTGCTTGTGACTGACCTTTGCTTCTGTTTACTGAAAAACAATTCTTCTCTAGGGTTCGGGAGAGCGGGTTTGCAAACCTTCATAAGCAGCGGGGCCTGCCTAATAAACATCGGCACAGTGTGATTTTCCTTAAGAATTTCATGAGCTCTAGCAGTGAAGGAGAAACCTGCCCCTGAACGATGTGTTTTGTGCTTCTTGTCACCCCCTTGAATGCCAGCATGTCCCAGCAGGGTTGTCCTTGTTTCTAGTGTTCACGTAATGAAACACGGTTTCGTTCCCAGTTGTGCCCCCATTCACAGACATTTGGAATTCAACAGGCACGCCATCAGCTCTGTACATAATGGAAGAGAATAAATATTCTATTAATCAATACCTTTGCATTTTCTGGATTGAGGATTTAATCTTAGGAGACTGAATTATGGGCAGTTCATTAGCCCAGAAGTTTCCATTTCAGTTCCATCAATGTGGCACTCAGATAACAGATGAGGGAATGATGAAATACTGAAATTTCACTCAAAAAAAAGTAGAAAATTAGAATGACATAAGACTTCTGCTTCTAAATGCGGAAGTGAATGAAACATCTGGCTTTTTAATTGCCGCTGTCCTCTCCGGACCCCAGGGTTTAGAAGCTGACCCTAGAGGCATGTCTGCAGCCTCACTGTATATCAGAATAGCACGTTCTCCTGGGGAGGGTGACACTCAGCCAGGCTTGATGCCAGACCTCGCTAACCTACTCCTATTTATGGCCTCTAGTCTGACACCGGCCAATTCTTTCAAGTACAGTTGAACAGAGCTTCTGTATGATGTTAACTCTTGCTCTTCTCATTCATGTGACCAGATCGAGGGCAGGGGCCTGGCTGAGATTTCTAAATGCCACAAGCTTGAAATCAGATACTGTAGTCATACATGGCTGTTGGTTCAGATGGACTAGCTTGGAGTCGGACGGGAGATGTGTTGGCTCTGAAAGATCAGCCAGACAAATTACTGATCATTAATTCCTTTGCCCTGCAGGTTGTTTTTGTAGCCATTTTGCTTCACAGTCACTTGGAGTGCAGGGAGCCTCTTCTGATCCCAATCTTGTCCTTATACATGGGAGCACTTGTCCGATGTACCACGTTATGCCTCGGATACTACAGGAACATACATGATGTCATTCCTGACAGAAGTGGGCCTGAAATGGGGGTACGTCTTAATATTTTGCGCCTTTTTGAAGTCAGTATTTTTAAACTTCCTTGTTGTGTTACAATACTGTATTAAATCACTGTGTGTGAAGGGCCTGCTCTCTGCATCCTGCAGGGAAAAAATAATTTCTCGTAGAGAAGCAAGGTAGAAGCTACTCCAGCAACGGTGTGCATGAGGCAGTGCTTCACGTGGTACGAATGTGCAGTCCACTGCGCACCTCTGTACTGAGCTCTCACCTTCTAGTGCAGTGAGACACCACGGAATGAACTAAGCGGGCAACGTATTTCACAGGGAAGAAGGTCTCAAAATTACTCTTTTTCCTCAAGTGTCATATTGGTGTTCACGTATCCTTGTCTGATAGCCAGAACAGATTATACAGGTGATTGATAACTTATTCATTATTTATTGAGATCCATGACACAGCTTCTTTGGAATCAGTATTGCTAACATGGGTGAAAATATTTTAGGATCCAGCTATTGAAAACTCTTAAAATGAATATACAAAACTGAGAGTAGGTGGGGAAAGCAAAAATCCTTTGTCTGTGCTTTTGGTTCAGTTCTGCGTGTTTCTTTCCAAAGCCGCCACTTCTTTTTTTTCCCTATGTGTTACAGGGAGAGGCTACAATAACGAAGATGCTGAGTTTTTGGTGGCCTTTGGCGTTGATTTTGGCAACTCAGCGAATAAGTAGGCCCATTGTCAACCTTTTTGTCTCCCGGGACCTAGGTGGCAGTTCTGCAGCCACAGAGGTAAGAAAGTCAGTGCTCCCCATGACTGCAAATAATCGTTTACATAGAGTTGCCTCTGTGTTTTAATTCTCAGCCATGCTGGTAAGAAAAAATTGTCCTAAGAACATTTCTGTTTAGTGCTGTCTTTATCCTCGAAAAGATGACTGCTTGGACTCTTACCCATGAGCATTTCTGCCAGGCCTAGTGGGACCACACCCTCAGCAAGACCAGTAGGATTTTTTCACTGAACAGTTCCTGCACCCTAGGTTTTCATGCTCTACATACAGGTATATATGCTCTGGAGCATTCAGATCCCAGAGTTTACAGGACAGTCATCAGTAGCCCCATGTTCCACTGTTTCATGTCGTATATTTATGGGTAGACAAACTGATGTGAAACAATCCTACTGTTAGTAGTCAGTGCATCACACAGAAGAGGGTAGAGATGTAAGGAAGCACATTAAAAAGCATCTGTCTCCTGGCTGGGATATGAAATGCACCCTGATTCTCATGAGGAATTTCAGACTACTCTGATCATCTCCTACAGCTGATGGTAGCCGGCCGGGCTTCTGATTGTAATGCAGAGCCTTCACCAGTGCTCACCATGAGCTGACCTATTCTCCAAAGAAGTGTGAGGAACCTTTGCTGCGAGTTTCGGTGAGAGGATGTCTAGATCCATGTAGTCATTAGCTCATCTCATGTTTTTTCTATAGGAAAAGCAAAGCTGTAAGATACTAACTGGAAAGGAAAATTGAAACAGCTGATGTGCCTAACAAACCTTCTCTCAGACTGCTATTTTGTCATAGGCAATAGGGTGTATTTCACTTACTCAGGAGTTGCCAGTGACTGCAAATAAACAGCTGTGGAGAGAGAATTTAGGAAACAAAACGCTTCTATATGTGTAAATCGGGGATCAGTCTATGCGTCTCAGTACAAGGGGAGCCAGAGTGGGTTAGCAGAGATCAGTCTTGCATTTCTTTGTGACTTTTGATTTTAGATGCATCACATTTCATGGCTGGCCTGTGGCATTTTGTTGTATTAAGGTGACTCCAAATACCAGTCAAAGCTGGTGGTTTGCTGGCCTTTTTACACAGACAGTAATGACCACGTTTCCACTTTATCCAATTTCCAAAATAATTGCCTCTGAAAAGGGAGGTGTTGGCAACACAGATAACATCAGTGCCTGGAACATCAGTATACACAGCAGTTTTACAGGTCCCCAGTTCAATAATATCAGCAGCTTTCAATGTAGTCAGGATGTCCCTGTGAAGGACTAGGCTGTAGCACGTTCATGAGGACAGCAAGTCCACTTGCTTCTGTTTGGACTGCCAGCACAATTACGGTGATTGGGGTACTTTTTTTGGTGTTGGGTTTGATAGGGGACTTTTTCACTTATCAAATACTGGCTCTAGATATTTAAGAAAGCTTTCACGCATGTATTTTGGGATCCCACCAACTGAGGAAAAAACACTGGAAGAAAAATCACTGCTTAAAACTGCAATAATTTAATCAAAGTGGAATCTAACATACAAAATGTGGTAGCAAAATAATTATTTCTTTAACAGTTACTGTGTCTTTGCAGTCTTTTTGGACTTCATCATGAAAATAAACAAAGTATCTTTTATATTCCTGATTTGATTTAACCCAGTTACGTTTCATACAGGTGGAAATTCTGCTGAAAATACAATAATGGGTGCAGCATGAAATGGCAATTAAAAAGGGTACCATCTTCAAATTCCAATTTGTTTTCTTTGAACCAATTACTTTTACAAAGTAACTTAAGCATTATTGAAGCTATGATTAGCAAGGAAGAATCATCCTACTCTCTTGTCTGTGGATATCACTACTTTCTCTCCTCTTTTTAAACAGTGCAGGGAACAAATTAGCTTGCTGCGTGGTCCTGTGTTTGTACAGGTCTTTTTAACCAAGCAAGGACAGCAGTTACATTTATAATGGGAAAATGGGCTCAGATAACCCAGAAAATGTGCATCGAAAGTTTAGGAGTGAAACAGCACTAGGTAAAAAAAGGTTGTTCTTAACACTACCATGGCCAGGTGTAAAATGAATCTGAATTGAGGTGAATAGTAACAGATCTAAAACGCTGAACAAAAGGCAGTCAAACACTTTGATTTCTGGATTTAAGAGGCGGTATAGTCTCAGTATAGATGCACACTTTGGCTCTGAGGACTAGAAAACTTGGGGTGACAGTAGATTTCCAAGCAGCTGCAGGAAGAGCTCCTTAAAACCCTTTGTACGTGAAGGACATGAATTGCATGTATTTGAAATTTTTCTTCAGAAATCAGAAATGGCAGCAAAATCTTTCATACATTAGTACGTGCGGGGGTTATGTCTTTGATGTACTTCTTGGACTGTACTTGCGAAACAGCAAAATCTTTCATACATTAGTACATGCGGGGGTTATGTCTTTCTTGCGAAAGCGCAAAAGGGCCTAATTCTAAATTGCAGGCAGTGAATTGTTTCTCATGATAAAAATGGCCACTTGGAATTGTTTTTGTCTGGTTTTCGTTGATGAGCCACCTTTTTTTGTCTCTCAAGTGCCTCCTGCCCCAGAGCAGTCCGTTTGAAGTGTGTCAGCCACTGAGGCCTACTGTTTTGTAGTCAGTCTCTCTGTCTTCATACTTACAAATAACCGAGTTAAATGTATGTAAATTAAAATTATGAAATCTGTTCCGAAGCTACCGTGAGCTGTCAGGCGTTCTGCTACTCATGTATCTGTAGGTAAAATAACTCACGAACAGTGTGGGAGGGAGGTATTCGGCTGGCTGAGGGGCACACTCCAGCTCGAGTTAACTATTATCCCAAAATACCAGAGTGATGGTCAAACGACAAAGCTGAGAAACGTAGCTTCAGAGCACAAAATATTTCTTCAGCTTAAAATGCTGGGCTAAATGGTGGACACTCTGACAGTCTTCCTGAAACAAAGACCTACGCCTGCCTGCTTTCTCACTGCGTCAAGGTCAGTGTGGTGACACTGATGGGAAGTGGCACCATGTGTTCGTTTAAGTGTCCTGTTCAAAGATCTCAACTTCATGTTTCCCTGTCTCTTATCTTAGGCGGTGGCAATTCTTACAGCCACGTATCCTGTGGGACACATGCCGTATGGCTGGCTGACAGAGATCAGGGCAGTATACCCTGCTTTTGACAAGGTGAGTGCCCACGCTGGGGGTGTAATACATACCTTTCACGTGTGTTCACATCTGTGGTCCTCCTCTCTGTTACAACATCTTAATTTAGGGGTGGCTTCAGTGATTTCAGGGGAATTTTTGTGAAACAGATATGAAGAAAGTTTGTTCTTGGCTTCATAGTCAAGTATAATCAACCAACCAAAGATTAAATAGGCTGCATTAATGGCCATCTATTGTTTTGCTTCTCTTTACTTTTGATGCTTATTGTTCCTCATCCCACTGATAAGTTTGTCTTAAAATTCTAATTAAAATCAATCGGATTTTGGCAGCGTCGAGCTGTTGTCTGATGTATGATTTTAACCTTAGCTCTGTGTTGCAAGGTATTAAGCTACCTTTTCAAAAAGATAGGTGCTGTATTTTTAAGGATTTTAAAAAGCCCTCACTTACTCACTGTGATGTAGCTACTTGGCTAATGAAGTGATTTCTCACAAAGTGTCCATCAGGGAGCGAGCAAGCTCACGTCTCTGCTCCAGATTCTGCGGTGTCTCTCAAATGGTTTTGGGTTCATTTGCGTATGTTAATATTAACAAAGGTTGTTTCACAGGCTGACAGTAACACAGATAACATACATTATTTTAGTCATACTGACTTAGCTGACCAAGGCTATGAAGATTCTTGTTGGCAAATCACGTAATTACGTAAGAATGCAAGGACTGTGCCTGGAACTGAGCACAGAGTAAATTAGAACCAAATTAATTTTGATTAGACTCTTCTTTTGCTCTGTTTTAGAACTGGTACTCACTATCCCATATGTTAGGCAAAGAACAGCCATGTCCTGTGACACTCTAATTCACATGCCAGATCCTCTCCTTCCCTTTATTTACCAATTAGTGACTGAACTTCCTGGTTCCAAATACTGATGAAAAAAATGTCTGCTTGCCCAGGGGTGTACTCAACTGAAGCAAGCTCCGTTTGATATGATCACTGTGTTTCCAAGGGGAATTTAAAAACAAATCAAAGAAAAGTCAAACCAGTCATAACTTCCTAACCTGCCTGTGTACAGCTAAATTGACTTGTCAGATGAAATACAACAAGCAGGCTTTCTCAGAGATCATGCTGCTGAACAGGAACTGCAGATGCAAAACCAATAAACTGCAAGATAAAAATGGGTTGCGCCAGGAAACACAGGGGCTGCTAACCTCATCTGTAATGAGCTACAATCAGATGCGCTGTTGCCAAGCAAAATTAACAGCAATTAAGACTCTTAAATCCAGGTCTCGTTTAGCTGGTGGAAGATTTGCTGACAACGTTAGCGGTGGCAGGATTAGACTGTGATTTGTCTGTTTATTTCACTTCAAAGGCTGCTTCTTCTAGAGCTCTTGTGGAACAAATGTGAGGAAGAAAAAGATAGGTTAAGGCACAGATAGGTACCATTTATCTAATTGCCCCAGAAGTATGTAATAGGGATTTTAGTTGTATGTTTTAAGAGGAATTTGGCATAAAACATGGTAAGTGATGTAGCAGCAGTATAAAGGGTATCTCATCCTGGCAACCACCTGTGCAAATGCCTCCGTTTCTTTCAAACAATAAATATCAAACCAGAAACCCACAGTGGTTTTTTTTAGATCACTGTGAGAATTGCCTTACCCTTGATCACACATCATTTGCAGGTCACCGTGCCTTTCAGAAGCTTTGTTTCCTTAAGCAAAGGCTTTTACAGAAGAGTCAAGGCAAAACCACTTTTTATTTCTGGAGTCTGAAACGCCTCCATTGTGATTTTCAGATGCCAGAACAGTTTCCGTGCATGCAAACTCATTTTCTTTCATCAGTAACTCGGAAAACTGGCTATGCCCACGGCCATCAAAAGCACGCTGCATTGCCTTAGCTGGCTGATGGGATTTGGGATCCAGAAAGTACGTCCCTCTTCACTGGTTCTCCTGGAGAAGTCAGGTTCTTGTCTTCACAGGGAAATCGTTACCTCCGTTCACATTTGCAAGAGGGATGCAGAGTCCTGCTTCAGTCTTTTATGCGACTCTGCTTCCAGAGCAACCTCATGGCCTAGTAGTTACACTCAGGTTAAGGGTTACTACTGGTTGGCTGAAAGAAAACAGGCATATCCTAGTCTGCCTTCTGTTTTATACGGTGATGCTGCACTTAATCTTAGTGGACTGTGCCATTCAGAGCAACCATGACTATGAGAGGACTTACGAACATTATTTATCTGATTAATAGGTGGGAGTGGATACTCTCTTCGCTCCATCATCTGCATAGTGTTTTGATCCAAGAACTGAACAGTGTGCAAAGGATAGGATGGAAGAGTGTGTCATCAGGGGTTAAAGGGCAGAGTAGAACAAGGGCAGGGTAGCAGCAGTGAGATTCTCTCTTTCTTCACAGCCCTTTTGCTTGGCTAGATTTAGGTGTGCTTTCTTTCCTCTCTGTTATTTTAGCCCTGTTAGAACCTGAACTGTGATCTGTTTGTTTGACAATGGTGAGTGATGTAAGCAAGGCCCATCCTCACATATATAAATACTAACAGTAACAAAGTTTTTCTTCAGAAACACAAGAAATAAGGATAGACTCATGAAGACAGTATATACAGAGAGTTTTCATAACCTGTTCCCAAAAGGGGCAGACGTGGGAATGCGCTCCTGCTTTAGGTTCTGGTTTGGCTACGTTCACCCACATGCACCTGAGCTTCCAAGCAGATATTTAGACGGGAGCGTGGAGCTCTCCAGGTGCCATCACTGTACTAATCACTATGAAAACCTTTAAATTGAAGAATTTCAGCAACTGCTCGAATGTGTGTGAAATGGTGTACCTTTCACAGAGCTCACCTTGGGTTTGTCCATGCCCAAGATCTGTTTGCCTAGGTTTCCTGTTGCTCTTTCAAGTGACTTCAGAAAAGGAGGCTGACCATGTGACAGATACTGCTGTTCCTGAGTTACATCAAGGATGAATAAACGTTATACTACGTCTTATGGTACAGTTTTTGTCAGTGTGGGCACATGCTTGTGTATGTCAAACAGCCCCAGCGTAAATGCAGTAAATGACCCAACAGCCTTTTGCTACAGGGCTTCTAAGGGTGCCCTGCTTTTGATATCCCAGCCTCTCCTTTCACAGACAATTTAGTTTGTTTTTAGTGTGTTCCCTGAGGGCCATTTTAAAGCTTCAGCTTCATTTGCTGTATTAGACATTTGGAAAAAGGCTTTTTTTGTTGTTTTAAATAAAACTTTGCTGTCATGTGAGTACAGAGCCCATGTTCAAGGTGGAACTTCTAATAGTCCTAATTATGTTCTGTTCATTAAACTGCATTAACAGAGCCAGCTGTTCCAGGAGCTTTGTTTATATTACCTACTTGTCTAATTGGATCAGTAAGGGTGCTTGCAGTGGCATATGGATTTGGTACCACTCTGTGGTAAAAAAGAATGGAATCCTATTTTTCCTCTGAAAACATACTACAGACTTTAAACGAAGGTTAAAAAAATCACGTAGAGGTCCCTTAGAAAAAGCAATCACCCCTTTGCAAAGCTGAACATGTTAAATAGGACTTATTCCTTAGAAAATTAGGGAGGTTATGCAGCCCTCAGTGACCATAGGAGCAGTTTCTGTCTGTTTAAGCGGAAAATATTCTGTGACAGTACAAAGTACTCAGAAAGCTCTAGGTTCAAAAAGCAAACAAGCAAAGACAGACATACACGCGCACAGACAGTCAGGTCCAACACATGACCCTGGTGCCGTCATCCTCCCAGTAGTCTGGAGCCAAGCTAATGCTCGTTATCTCTTTCTCTCACCCCAGAATAACCCCAGCAATAAATTGGTGAACACCAACAGCACCGTCACAGCGACACATATCAAGAAGTTCACTTTTGTTTGCATGGCGTTATCCTTAACGGTAAGAAACCTTTGTTCAACTCTTGGGCTTTCATCTCAACCAGAAAATTATCTCCTCTACCTAATGCTAAAAGCACTAGCAGTTCAAGAAAGGTGAGTTGTCTTTTCTTATGAAACTCTTGTTGCTTTTATCTGAAAGAGGGAGTGTGATCATAGTCCTGGAGTACTAAGAAAATCAGAAGTCATTAATTCAGACTAGATGTCTTACAGGTCAGAGTTATTTTATCTAATTTTCATTTCAAGTCAACCTCCACGTGCGAGGAGATACCCGAGGTCTGCTTTTCTTTTATCTCTCTTTTTTTTTTTAATGAACAAAACTTCTCGTAATCAGCTCATCAGGAAAATGAAAAACCACATTTGTCTCACGTGCAGTGGGATGGCAGCCTGTTCCTGAGCCTCGTTTGCTATGAACGGTGGGAGAGGCAGCGCGTGTCAAAACAGCAGTAGCTGTTCCCTGCCGCCTCACGTGGCATGGGTCTTCCATGCTGGGAGTATTTTCATGCATGTTAGTTTTGTTTACTCTCAAAATAAACTAAAAAGGGCAATTTGGGAGACGGTGCTGACACTGACAAAAGGATCTATAGCCTTGTCCATACTGGGAAGCATTGCAAGGGGCTGACATTCAGGCAGAAATTTTGCTGAGATTGCAGCATTTCAAAATAACCAGCTTGCACACATAAGTCCAGTGCATCTTCCCCAAGAAAACTGCTTCTGCAGAAGTCTTTTTTAGTAACAAACAGGCAGTTGTGGAAGAAAACTCATGCAAGTGGTGGGGATCATAGCAAACAATGGAGGAGATGGCTGGGGTAAATGCAACTTCTGTTGCTACATAGGATGGATTTACATCAGTGCTTGAAGCTGGTCATGTCACCCTCTTCCCCTTTGGGGTAGACTTGCGTTAGCAACCACACCTCTGTCCGTGACATTCGTTAGCAGATTCGTGATCACTGGCAGCCAGGACCTGTCCCATCTCCCCAGACAGGAACAGGACAGCCAAGGGGCACCAGGGCAGGCGCAGCATCGAGCACCTCTCTGAGGATGGGAAGGGGCAGAGGCCAGGCTGGGGGGTGGGCCCATGGGCAGGCCCAGCTCAGCGGGGCCCATGGGTGAGCAGAGCAGGGCTGTGGGCAGCTGGAGAATGGTCCTGATGCAGCATAGCTGGGATGGGGGCTGGTGGTCCCAGGGGACTGACTTGGGGTCCAGGGGCATGGGCAGGGTGGGGTAAGTTCATGGGGGGTTGGGCAGGGATGGTCAGGGCTGGCAGTGCCCTCAGGGCCATGACAGCTTCCCTCCCCAGTACCTGCACTAGAAGGACAAAAGTCAAGGAGAACCTAGAAAATAAGTTTCTCAAAGAAAAAGTCCTTCCTCATACTAGAAAAGTAAGCGGGAAATCACAGAATGGTTTGGGTTGGAAGGGACCTTAAAGACCATCTAGTTCCAACCCCCCTGCCATGGGCAGGGACACCTTCCACCAGACCAGGTTGCTCAAAGCCTCATCCAGCCTGGCCTTGAACACTTCCAGGGATTAAGATCCTTTTCCCTAGGTAATGTTAGCTGCTGGCAGCCACGTGTTTAGTGTTCGCTCATCTGCCTGTGAGCTGCAAGGCTTCCCAGGCTGCTTTTGTGTTAGTTAGTGCCTGCTGTATTCAAGTGATGAGCAGGGGGCTCCTTTGGGAGGCCACAAGCTGCCACTGCCCACCCCACGTGTCGGTCACAGCCATGCCTGCCCGCACCCGTCCGTGTGCAAGCCCCGCGCAGTTGGGGGAAGTTGCGTGCCCTGAGTTCAAATCAGGCCATCGATTGTGCAAGCGACACTAGGGAAACTGGGACATTTAACTCTTTGAGGGGACTGGGAGGGGTGGCATCTGTTCATGGCTCAGAGTCGGCTTGGAAGGTAGGTGATGTCTTAATAAGAGCTGCGAGCACCCTTGTTTAAGTCGCTGCCTTTGGGTTAAAAGCATGGCCGGCTGTGTGTGGCTGAAGCAAGATCACTGCTTGAGGAGCATACAAGATGCTGCTCGGACAAAGCAATATCTCAGAGACCACTGGGGAAGCACCCTAGCTCACTGTCACTAAAAATGACCCAGAACAGTCTGTGCTTGCTTGTTTGTTTCTGCCACGGAAGGAGCAATCGGTTCCTGCAGCAGTAGGTAGTAAGCTACGCTGCTCAGTTCGGCTTCCCCGCCCAGCAGCCTCAGCTGGGACGGACCGCGGTGCTTTAAGGACACACTGCCAAACACCAGCTCCTGTTAGCTGCATGGTTCCAGTTAACTGAAGCGTCAGCGAGACACGTGGCCAGTTGTATCTTCATGTTCTTGAGTGCTGTATGTATTACAACAGGTTTTCCCTTCCCAATTAGACAGGCTCGAGGTGCCAGGGGTGGCATGCTGTGCGCACCACGCCACGTTCGTCCGTCTGTCACCAAGTTAATGTACAGCAGGAGAGCGGCACAGTACTCCTTGGGTTTAACATGTATTCTGTTGGAAACAGCGCAGAGTTCTTTCCAGCTCTAAGAATAATAGCACCAGTGTTATTATAAAAAGAATTTCAATGCTGCTTTGCTTTTTTTTTGTTTTTAAATGGACATGTAGTTATGGACAAAGAGGGAAAGTAGCAATTTACATGCTTAAGTCTGATTAAGGGGACAAGCTAATTGTTAGATCTAATTAGCAGACACCACTTAAGAAAAAAATCCAGATGTTTACGTTTGCCCTGTGATTTTTCATTCGTTTCTATTCCAAAAGGAGACTGAAAGATAGAGGGAAAACTTTCACATTTACACCGGTATGTGTGTGTGTGGTTTACGCAAGGCTTACAAATTTCAGATTTAAGTCTTACAAATCACAGACAAACTAGTAAAAACTGTAAATCCCTCAAAAAACCCCAACCAAAACCAAAACATTGCCTTGAAGTTTCAGCTAAAGTGAAGGCTCAGACACGGAAACTGAACAAATTCGTATGCGTTAGTTGTGTCGTGGTAACCAAATTCAAATGCCAGGTAACCTTCTTTAGATTTAAATCTCAGTGAAAGTTTAAATTTAATTTACTTAGGAACAAACAGATGGTCAGTTTACTGGCTTACATGTTTGGGCCTGGGAGTTGAATATGTGTGAGTCTGTACATGTCAAAATGCCTCCTGCTTTACAGTCAGGTTTGTCTATAATTAAGTCTAATGACAGCTTTAAATGATTCTAATACTTAGAATATTCCTTTCTATATTGTATATTAGGCCATTTTTAATATTCTATAATAAAATACCACATTTTGTTGTGAATGGAATGTAATATTTAGATTAATATCTGAACTTATTCTTTTGACAGAGGAAAAAACACATTGATTTCTAAGGGCTCCTGCTGGTGAGCATCTGTAGTTTAAGGAGTTACTATTGGCAACTGTCTGCTTCCTTCCCTTGTTGGAAGTTATCAGCCCCTAAGGAAAAGCAGCACGCAGGCACTGTGTCAGGTCTCCAGTGCTTACATCTTGTAGCATAGCAGCATAAGCTACCATCAGTTGGCAGTGGTACTTGTCTCACATATTAACCTATACTCTATGTAATTATAAATGTGTATCTGATAAGTATATAATCATATGCAGAGTGTAGTTACATACAGTTATAAGTGAGGTTTTTGTATTATATTATAATGACGAGAAGGTTTAAGCATTTAACATGTTTGCCTAATGACCTCCTATTTCTCCCCAGGCGTGGGCAGAAAAGTGGGAGAGTCTGGGGACCGTGGGATCTTTAACTTACCTTGCAGTATTTAATAGTGGGATCCCATCAGAGTCTTGAAACAGCAGAAAGGGCTCCAGAGTCCCAGGGTTTCTTTTTCTGTGTTCCTGTGAATGCAATGTTTCAATTTCAGCCTGAACAGGGGAAGAGGAAAGTCTCTGCCTCATTTGATGACACTTTACTGCAAGCCATCCCATCATTTCCCTAATGCTCAGTCAGCATCTGCTTGGTTATCTTCTCTAAATAATCATCAAGCAACTAGGCAATAAGAAGAAAACAGTGATCAAGAACAAGGAAGCCAGTGTAGCGTGGAAAATTCCCTATCTAAAAAAATCAAATTACAGAATACAGGGCTCAGTAGTTGCCACTTCCTTCTTATGTCTTGATTCTGTAAGAGGTGGAGCCAATTGCTGTGGAAGAGACGCAGCTGTGCTTCATTCAGGCTGAGAAGCCTTGTCTGTTTTAAAGGCTGCTCCAGATGCCCAAGCTTTTGCGCTCTGCTTTGGATTTGGGTATGCCAAATTAGGAACTGCCAAGTGGATACCACCTGCCGGCTGTCCTGTCCGGTTGGTCAGCAAGGCGTCGCCAGCCGCTGAAATGCAGGCACTGGCAGGTAAAACTGGAGCCCACCTGAGTGAAGACTGAATATTCCTACCAGCTCAGTCTACTATTGAAATAGCATTGCTTTATTGGTGTGTTCCCACTCTGGTGCTGTGCATCTACCAAACATTTTGTACTCAATACCCGTTCGATTTCCAGTTGAACTCAGCAAATCTTGTTATTTCCCAGCCATCAGTCCTGCGGCTGATTTTTCCCGTGAGGGTCACCAAAGACTATCCAGCTTTCAGTAGTCCCATCTGACCTCAAATTTTCAGTCTCTAGCTTAATAAATATCCCATTTCATATCACTTTCTGCTTTTACCTATAAGTTCATTTTCCACATGACAGACTGTCGTCTCGATTAAAGCTCTTGCATACGTAAGACAATGAAGTATTTGATGTTTTCAGCTACGCTGTCCTGCTAACCACTGAGACACAAAGCGGTTATTGGTAAAGGACGGGAGTTAAAGAATTAATTCTTTGCATCCCCATCATGAGACCGACTGCTGTCCTACTAGGCATCCTTAGCTTGCATTCAGGGTAGTACGAGTTAGGCTTGCCTATTGAGAAATGCCAGTGAACACGTTCCTGTTTCACGGATGAAACCTTTCGAAGGCAGAAGAGGGGTGTCCGTAGCGTGATATAACCGCACGGCAGTTCTGATGCGCTTAATGAGCTCCGATGCCTGCAGAAGTATCGCGCGCTTTGCTTTGTTCGGAGACCAAACACCTGAAGGGTCTTATTTCAGGGCTTAGAGAGAGTAAATTGCATTCAGGTCCTGACAGCAGATTAGCTTTAATTTTTACATGCCTCCAGCAGCCTCACTGTAGCCAGAGGGCGTGCAAAGAAGTATTGTAAAACAGCATTTACCACTAGCAGTATATGTGAACATACCGTGACCAAAATGTAGGTAATTTTTTCCCCCTTTCCTAAAGAAATTGAGGTCAGTTACCACTACTACTGTGAAACCAATAATAGACTGTCAGCTACCAAGAAAGTACAGGAATACTAGAATTTATGCCCTCGCCTTCATGCATTTTAGCAAACAGAGTGAGAAGGTTTTTATGTACACACTTGATAGAGTTTGGCAAAGATCAGCCTCGAGTAGAGCAAAGTGATTTGCAAATTCTGACCGGTGAAAGAGACTATCAGGGCTTTTACTCTGTTATTCCTCCTTCATTCTCACTTAAAACAAGTATCCACTGCCCCATCCTCATGGTTTCAAGTGATTCAGATGCAGGAAAGGGTAACGAGAAAAAAGCAAGGGACACTGTTTCTATTTCCTTGTGACTGATGCCATAGATTTTCTCTATGTATTGAGGGAGGATTGCTACCTGATAAAATCACCCCGTTATTACAACTCTTAACAACTTTGATAGCTCTATACATTCTGGGCTTCCAATGCTGGTTCTTAGTTCACAAGCTGAAGAAAGCATTTTTAGGACAAGGTGGCGATTTCTGAGGTCCATAATTTAGGTGTTCCTCTCTCTGCTTTAGGCCTAACATGCCTGCAGTGCTGAAACCTTCCCGCTTGCCCATCTCAGCTCTCCCATAGATAGATGACTGATAGCAGACATTCAGAACATTCAGACATTCATTGCCCACCAGGAGCAAACTGGGAGTTGGAAAAGGGGGCAGGATGGGTGTGTGTGAAACATGAGCGTTTTTGATGCTAAAGAGAGAACCAAAGGTGTAGCCTTTCTGCAGTGATGGTGCAGGAGGGCCCATTTAGCTGAACAAGTAGTTACAAATACATGGAACTTAACAAAGTCTCATTTTTTCGTGAATTTGTGACTCATGGCTGAGGGAATAGCATCAGGGTCTCAACAGAAGAAGCCATATTTTAACTTCTTGGCCTTTCAGATACTCTACATCTTTCCTGCAAAAGGAGAATGCAGTATGACACACCATAATAAACCTCATTAATCACTTCTGTCTTGAGGATTTGGCTGTCGTAGTATTTCTACTGTACTAGAGGAAACAGCTTAGCCACACCATAGAAAACAAGCTTCATCACGATGAAGCCTTCCTGTAAACACTGAAATCTGTGAGTTTATCCATGTTAATGTGCTCAAACTGTAACATTGCACAGGATAAGTTACTCTGGAAATCAAAAATTTGAATTCTGGATCAAAAAGGTAATATGACTTCTGATGATATCTGACGATTCTATGATGGCGATAATAATTTCAGTTTTTGAGGTTGTAGTGTTTTAACAAACATGGCCAGGGACATGAGCCAGAGTTTTGCAGCGTTGTAGTTCCAGCACATCAGTTACCAGCCACTGCATTAAAAATTATAAATGGAAGATTACTTAAGAGCCAACTTTCTTAAAGCGTCTTGTGTTACTGCATTAAATAGGGCAAGCCTGTGTGGTTTTCTACAGCTGACCACGGTTATATGATTTTTTGTGGGTCTTGTTTGGTTTTTAAGGAAGATAACTGTGGAACTTTAGAGTTTGAATAATAATTTAAATTTTTCAATGCATCATAAGATATCAAATCACAGATTAATACTGGCAACCTTCATTCCCCTTCCACCAAATTAACGCAATCGTACTTTGTAGTACATTGTCCGGTTCAACCAGATTAAAGCCGTAGTTCATGCTCCCCTGCCCAAGGTCATGCTTACAGCTCTCCTCAACAGGAGATTTTCCCTGAATATCTCCTTTTCTGCTCGTGAGAATAATTAATTCCCCCGGTGTAGTGTTGAAGAGCTTCAGACTCAGCGTAATACTGCAGTGCATCCCTCCATTCCTGGTATTTGTTCCTTGCTTTCAGGAATACCTTTTTATAACCAAGAAGAGCTTAGGCATAGCTAGTAATCGGCTTTAAGAAACTGTCCAAACTACATTTTCTTCACAACTGAAGTACTGTATAGAATTATTTAGCTTTCTGTGTAGTTTTTCCTCCCAAGTTTAAGGATGAATGACGGGAAACATGCACAGCAACCACGTTTTGCTGCCACCATATATACCTGTGACTTTCAGTGTCGCATTCAACGTCATGGGTCAAAAAGCAGCCAAAAGTTTAAGTCATTGCAGAGGCCACTGGTTTTGTGTTCAAGGTTCATTTGTTTTTTCCTATCTTTTATTGGCTGGCTTTATTTTACATCTCTGCACTCTTTCATTATCAAAGGTTACAACTAGGCTTTATTAGAGACACGGGATAACAGTACTGAGAGGCAGTAAAATCCACAGGAAGAAATGTCATGGCAAGAAACCGTTCCCTCTCAGGGGGCGCAACCCCAGTGCCAATAGGGCCAGTATCTGGAATTCCCTGGGTGACCGAGTTCAGTGACTGTAGAATCTTTTGTGAGTATACAGAGAAAAGAAATAAAAAAAGAGGGACAGAGTTCCCCCACACTCCCCGATCTTATTTCATCAATGGCTTCATTACAGCCTCATTGCATTAAGGAGATTTCACAAGTCCTATCTAGGATATTCGCATCCAAAAAAAGCATTAACTTTTCAGACTAAATCCACATTCTTTGTACTTCACTGTCATACATCACATAGATGCCAAGGACAGCTTTTGGAATAATACCACCCATCCAGTGGATGAGTTTGCTTTCACTGCTTTGATTTCACTCGTCTCTGAACTCCCAGATTTTTATCTTGAGGCTGCTGGCCCAGAAACAACAATCGGAAAATGGCATATTGGCAGACAGTCACTCAAGAAACGTTTTACTTTTTCAAGGTCAGGTTTAGTTCCAGCTTCAGTGAAAACTATTTCAGACACGAGTGGGAGTATTCCTGCCTGCTCAGGAAGATGCTGGACCACCAAAAGCTGACGTGATAAAGTCCTCACGAGAGCCTTGTCCCATCAGTGGTACCGCACTGAGCCTTTGTCCCAGAACAAAGGATTTCTGTTTGCTCCAGTGAGGTGGAGACTGATATCTCCTTCATGATTGTTCAGGTTTCACACAAAGGGTCCATTCTGCGTGAGTGGCTGGAGCAAGCAGAAGAGGAAGGGTCAAAAATTGTCACTGCAGCATGTTTCTGCTCAAACTCTCCAGTCGCAACAGGAGGCAGCAAGGGCTGCAGGAAACTAAGGACAGAAGAAAATGGCTAAGTTGTGAAATTGACAGTTTTCACCGAGAGCCTAGGAATCTGCCAGCTTTGATTCATTCAAGCTTTATTTTAAAGTGAGGCTGTACTCAGCAAAATACCCTGCTTTCTGTAAAAAATAAAGCAGCATAATTCAGTGGGGAGATACAATGACTGTCTTAAACAATTTAGTGACCCCAACCCAGCCTGAAAAACACCACCTAATTATTCTCAGCAGCAGTTGGTGAGAAAGCAGATGCGGCATCACGTCGATGCTATCAGAGAGTCGGCGTACCGTGCAGCTGCCGGACCGAGCCTTTTTTCTGAGGACTGTCGTGCTCCGTCACACTGAACTGTAAGGAAAGCTGTGGGGAGGCTTAGGTGTGCAGACACCGCTTATATCGGGAGAAGATACGAAGTTCAGGAGTTTTCCCGCAGGCAGGCTCTGGTTTCTTTTGCTCCCCCTGCTGCTTGACTGATTTTGTGAGAGCTGTTTTCAGCCTCACACCGCAGAACACAAAGTTCACAGAAATCTATACCGACTCACGTGCGCCGGAGGGATAATTGCTGTCAGAGAATGTCCTTGTGATTTAAGTCATTGGTGTGATGATAAACTGCTTTCAAATACGAGAGCGGTCTGGCATTTTTACTGCTCACAGAGCCAGGGCTCTTCGCTTCATGGGATCACAGGATTGTTCAGGTTGGAAGGGCCTCAGGAGTTCATCAGGTCCAGCCTCTGGCTCAGAGCAGGGTCAGCTGTGAGGTCAGCGCAGGTTCCCTGGGGCTTTGGCCAGTCTGGTCTTGGAAATGTTAATGTTTGCCGCACAAGAAAAGGCCCCACTTTCTACCCACTTCGGAATTACAGGACACATGAGCCCATCATCATGATATCCCAACAGAGTGGGGATATGTGGGATGTGGGAACCTTCAATGCCTCCCTTTGGGCTGATCAAATTTTTTTTGCT